TGAGGAGAAAGTAGCGAAGTTAAGTTAGAGTTATCAAGAAAAAAAAAGTATCTGTAACTGTAACTTCGTTACAAGTAACGAGTTACTTCCCAACCCTGATTATTTGTTAACGTGTGGCGAGCGTGGCGCAGAGCAATGTGCGTTGCTTAGTCAACAAATGATCGAAAAGATCCGCGTTCAAGTCCACGGACATCGTTAGTCTTTTCGGAATCTCTCGGAGGGAAGTGGCAACCACCGAGAGTACCCTGCCACTTCCTTCCACTTCCGCCACACATACCCCTTTAGCTGCGTTCGGAAACGTCACTCGAGTGCCCCAGTGTATCATTTTATCCTTGTTTACCATGCGGTAAGCAACAAGGATAACATGATTCAACGTCAAAAAGATATTTATACTTCAACATTGCAACATTATTTTAACTTTCTGTGCCGTATATGGGTAGCCTTTAGGGGTATATTTGGAAGTCTACTTCGGCAAGGTTAACAGCCTACCGAAGATGAAGTAAGACCGAATGCTCGAAGTAGCAAAACGAACTGGATAAAACAGGCTTTAAGCCTAATACACGAGGAAGAGGAAGAAGAAGATTGATCAGCCTATGGTCAGATTATATTGTTCAAAGAACACTGCTCGGAAAATGGCAAATACTTTGTTAATCTACTTCTTCGATTTATTTGCTACGGTACTTTGAATCGCGAATTCCGGGACAACCTGTATACGTGACGCGTCTGATTTTTAACTGCCGGAAAATTCTGAGCGTTCAAATGGAGAATAAGCCACTTCGACGAATCTTCGAAAGAGTGCGAAGAAATGTAAAATATGCAACGTGTCGTCTGCGTATGCGGATTCGCACGCAAATATCATTAAAGCGATTCTAAAGAACGCATCCGTTGTACGAGCGCACTTTTATGATGTTCAAAGATGGCTATGATTATATCGCACATCGGTCATTGCAAACACGAGCATGTGGACGCGGTGACGTTTCGTGCAAATACAAGCGTCAATGTTCCTCGAAATTATAATGAAAATTTCATTATTCACAACGAAAATATTGACAGCCAAGGAATGCCGCGTATTTTCTACCGTCATCTTCTATCGGCGGACGAAAGCAAAAATTCAACGGAAACCGACGCGTATGTCGTTCACGTTAATTCTCGTAGTAGGCAAGATCCCGGCGAACGTCACCTCGTACTGTCAAATCTACGAGCGTGTAACACGTTGTTGCGCGAGACAGGCCAGTCACGACTAGAACGTGAGTCAAATCTGCAAAGTGCTCCGAAATATTTCAGAACAGAGGCGCGAGAAAACGGCGAGGTGGGTTGCAATCACGTCGCGTTCTTGCTCGCGCGCAGATGCAGCTCAATTTGAAGTGCGCGTAACACACGGCGCCGTTTCTTGGAGCGGCGTGAACTAGATCTTGCATGGAAGAGTGTTCCGCTCTGATTTTGTCTCGTTTAGAAATATAAAAAGTCGTTCTCGCCTAAGATTTATTTTATGCGAGGAGGGACTTGTAAAAAATACCCCGGTTCTCTTTTTACCGGCTGCACTAGATCCAGAGCTCTTGTTAAAGACGGAAATAGCTGCTTGCGTATGTTAGAAGTATAGAATCGCTCGTTACGAGACAGGAGAAAATAAAGCAAGGAGAAATGTGTTTACATGCGTTTACACGGAGACGGAAAGGGGGGGGGGAGCCATCCCGGCCGGATGGAAATCTCGTAATCGCGAGGCACGAGGGTCGGAATGAAGAAAATCGCCGTTCTACGACTGCGAGGAAAATCGATTTCCGTCCGGAGTAGCGCGCCAACGGCCCAGCATCCCGCGGGGCCGTTCGACGAGGACCAGCGGATCGCTTTCGCTGACCGCCGTCGTCATAACCGTCGCCGATCGACACGACCGGCACGCATCGTGACTTGCGTAACTTTGAAGGAACTGTTGCGTGGAACGGCGACTTCGCTCCTTTCTTTCCCCCGCTGCCGAAGATAACTCCCATTCCGGTCCATTTACTCACTTTCTTCTCTCCCGCGTTCTCGCGGCGAACTTGACGCGGCGAACTTGCGTACTTCTCCAAAAAAAAAAAAAAAAGAAAGAAAGAAAAGACAGTCTAATTCGCGATTCAGGGAAGTGTAGCCGACTGAATGCTAAGCGGATTAACCTTTGTGACTTTTGCGTGAAATATTAAGTGATATCTGTATAAGTTCTGCGCATTCTCAATTACGGTCAGCAACGATTTTAGCATAAAAATGCCCAAGGCACGAAATATTGTGATTAAAATGAAACATTCAACGAGTGACATTCATACTCTTAGAATTCATAATATGCACGCACGCGTTCACATTTTTTTCCGTTCATTGCATTAATGTGTATCCGGTTTTAATATCTATTGCCGGTTTTATTTCAATTCATTAATTATGCCTCTGTCACACCAGTCACTTTAAAAGAAAATGCGATTCAAATTTCCAATTTCTACTCGCGTCACTCTCTTATTATTTACGAATAATTTAAATGTAATTATTGCGCGGGTATAATTATATCAAATGCGATACGCGCGGCAGCGGAGAAAAGAACAATTTGATATACGACCGATTGTAAATACACACTGTAAATAATTTAAAAGGGGGAGAGATATTTCTAATGAATTAGACGTTGCGCGTATAAGTTGGGTCTACTTGGATTTATCCAATTAGGTATTTTGCTGGCAATCGGTCAAGAATTTGCAATATCCTGGCCTAAAGCTTTGAAGTAAATCAAGATATCCAATTCGACGATGCATGTGTATATCAGAGTTGGGAAAGTTACTTTATAAAAGTATCTGGTTACAGTTACACTTTTTTCGCTAAAAATGTCACTAGTTACAGTTACACGTTACCAATTCTAAAACGTAACGCGTTACAATTGCTCAATGTGTAACGAATCGTTACTTCGCAGTTACTTTCTTACGATGAAAAGAAAAATTAACAAATGTTTACGTGAATTAACAAATTGTTGACAGCCCGCGACTGCCAGCCTACGGCTGAATCAAGAAATATTTTCTTGACTAAACAGTTTTTTTTCTCAGTGTATATGATAATAGACAGACATATAAATGGAAGCAGGTTTCTGTAGAACGCGCATTTTGTATGATGCAATAATAGAACGAGAAGAAAAACGGCTTGTTGCACAAGCATCTCGGTGTGCACTGTTTGTTGGCTTTTTTTTCATGACACACCTTCTGTGCAAAGTTGCAGAATAGGTGTGATTCTAATGTAGCGCGGTTACAGAAGCGTGTTATAATGTAATATGTAAACAGAGACCGCAAGAGAACTCGAAGAGCAAAATCGACGTTTAACGCTTTTCTTTTTTCTCTAATTGCAAGCGGTATTTCCTTTTTCGATGTTGTCTATAGATTTTCTATGTTGCACGTAGACACTTAGAAGAGTTTTTATTTGCATAAGAACAATAATTGGTTACGATTAAAGCTGACGGCACACGATACCATTTTTCCTACTGGATTGCTTACGAGAGCCAAATTTAGCATCGAGTCACCTGATCTAAAACTCTGCATCCTTATTGGTTCTCGTACGCAATCCACTCGGAAAAATAGTATCGTGCAACGTTGGCTTAAGTAATGTTTTATTCTTGAAAGTTCAGAGCATGCGTGCCCTTCAAAAATCTTTCACGTTTTTTTGGAGAGCCTAAAAACACGGAATATTTATGAAATAATAATTATAAATACTGTAGGGAAATAATGCATAATAAATTATATTAGAATTACAAAATCAACATAAATTATACTAATAATCGTAGAATTTAAAATTTATATTGCGTTTTTGCATTCAAAATGCATAAAATAATTTCCGTTTTCCTGCATAGACAAAAAACGGTTCTTAAAAAGATAATGGCTGCGTTCAGCAGAAAAAGCTGCTTTGCAACTGTTGTGAAATTCGCGAAACTGGATTGGCGTATTGGTATCTCTTAATCTTGAGTGAATTTAAAGATATCCGCCAAGGCAGCTTTTTCTGCTGAATGCAGCCAATAATTTTCAGCATAAAACAAAACTGTGACGCAAGTGAATCCACGATTCCAGAAGAATTCAGATGGCATACGATATTCATAAATTCACCAATTTCACAGGCGGGTTGTAAAGCGGCTTTTGCTGCTGAACGCAGCCGATGTTGCATACATATTTTATCATTTGCGTGCTGTCTGGGAAACCTGAGTGTTTCTTTTATGTTGCAAATTCATTAGCAAGAGACAAACCGAAGGTGAAAAATAAATATAAAACTGACGTAGAATGAAAGTGAGTGGTTGAATAGGTGTTTCTGATAAGGCGCGAACGCGAATGTACTTGGCGCGTTTTCACCACCCGAGGATACTGCGAATCTACAGCGCAATCGCGGTTGAACGTCGCACCGCGGGATGGCGCTCGACCTCCGCGACGCGTCCTCGGCCACAACTGGCCACAACCGCTCCCGCGCCCGTGGCGTCCGCCCGTCTCGTCGTTTTCGTCACTTCCGCCCGCGCGATTAGCGATCAAATAAAGAAGGACAGCGAAGGACGCGAGATTCTAAGCGCGGACACGAGCGCTTTCGAACGAGCGTGTATAATCTCGGGGAGGGAAAAGGGGGGGGGGGGAATACTCGCCGGCAAAAGAGAGAGAGGGACGGAGCGAGCCGGTGCGGAAGTGCGCGCAGGTAGCGGGAGGAGGTTAACACGAGGGAGAGCAGAACGGAGGATGTAGATGAGCGGACGGAGATTGCGCCGGTACCGAAGGGAGACGGAAAAGCGCGACGGCGGCGGCGATAGGCAGGAGGAGGTCGGGGAAGGGCGATCGACTACGCTCGCCTAGCGGACGAGCGCGAGCGGGCGAGCGGCACAGGCGAGGGACTCGTCGGCGGCAGCGGACGGCGGCAGCGTCGGTGCTAAAAGGCGGGGACGGACGGCCGTCGCTCGAGCGTGACCGCGTGTGTTGAGCTTGGCAGCGCGCGGCGCCAGTCCCTCTTTCTCTCTCTCTCCCTCCCTCCCTCCCTCCCTCCCCCTTTCTTTCACTCCCCCGGTCTCGGTCTCCTTCGTTTCTCCACCGTCCCTCTTCTTCCGCTTCGCCTCCCCCTTTCGCGCATCCACCGCCGGGCGGCGTAGAAGAGGAGGAAGACGACGACGACGCGTGCCGCACGACGGTGAAGAAAACTTGCGGCCGACGGCGGGCAGTCGTTACTCGAGTTTACCGAGCCGCGACGGTAATCTCTCGCCGTTGAACCGTTTGCTCGCTCGCTCGTCTGTCTGTCTCGTCTCGTCTCGCGGCACACTTCGTCACGAGGTCGCGGCCGCGCGGGAAGGAACCCGATCGCCGGCGCCAAGGGGAAGTAACGACGATCGCGGAAGAAGAGGCGCCGAGGTTGTTGCCTCCGAGCGAGGGTGGTGTGTCCGCGTGCCGTGCGTTTATGTGCGCGGTCAGGTGACAGGAGGAGAGGCTACGACGACCAACACACGGGGTGCTGTCGCTGCTGCTGCCGCCGCTGCTCCTGCTCCTGCTCCTGCTGCAACAAGATTACATAGTCGCCAACGGGCTGCTGCCGGCTACGTGGTGCTCGCGAACGAGGGTTGCTCGGTGGCGGCGACAACGGAGGTGGACCGTCTCGCGGTAGAGAGCAAAGGAACGTGGAATAGCAGGTGGGTGTAACCCGCGTAGTAATCCGCGATAACGGCCGGCGGGGCGGGCCGCGCCGCGTGATCGAGGGAGCGTGCACGCGCGCGGCGCGCGTGTACCGGCGTCCGCGTACGCGGGCTTTGAGGTTAAGTGACGCACCTGCGATCGATCCGATCGCGGCCGAGCACCGGGAGTACGCACGGACGGAAGCCGGTGCCGTGTCCCTAGACGGAGAGGCTCGGGTGGGTGTGCGTGTGTGTGTGTGTGTGTGTGTATGTGTGCGTGCGTGCGTGCGTGCGTGCACCGGGGGATTCGCGAGCCGCGCGAATTTTCCGCCCTCCGGAGCCGACGACGCGAGGCGTTTCGCCGCGGCACGCTCGCTCTTTTTCTCCCCCCCCCGACCGGCGGGCAACTATGCTGTAACCCAGAAAAACTTTCTAACCCAAATTCCTCTGGTCTGAATTTCAAGGAGCTCGGCTCCGCGCGCGAACTTAATTGTCACCCTCGGCAGAGGGCGAGCCTACGTTCGAGAGCCCACGGTCGTTTCTTATCCCCCTGGCCGTCCCTACGTCCGCGGCGGAGTTTGAAATGAATTGGAAAGATCGCGCGCTACTCCCGGTCCAAGTTAATCGCTGGATTTTCACTGAAAACAGCGGATAGCCACTGGTTCACAGTTACGAGTGTACCGCAGTGATTTTCAGCGGTGTACTTGTAACTGCAAATTAATCGCTGCTTGCCGTTTTCAGTGATAATCCGCCGATTGACTTTTGGAGATTGTAAGCCCAGCTTTTCTCTGGGCTGTTGTACGTCGTTTGAATTCTTAATTGTATTTGGAGATTGTGTGATAACTTTTAAATTCTCGGCGATAACTTTTAAATTAACTGTTGCATGTATTGTTCACATGAAAATACGTAACAGAGTTTGTTAAACCTCGCATTTCTGATCTCGAAGGGGGGGGGGGGTCACGTTCTAGCGTCTAGTTCTTTAAAACATTAGTCCTACACTGAGAAAAATGTCCGATTAAATATAAACGGATAATCCAATTACATAATAACAAACGGATATATTCAATTAAATTGTATATCCGATGAAAAATATGATCGGTTTTTCGATTAAACTTCATCGGTAACTGCATTTCATCAGTTGAACCTCATCGGATGTGTCCATAATTTAATCGGAAAATGTAATCGGAAAAATTAACCATCGGAAACACCATTTAATTGGTTTATCCGATGAAAATTTTTGTCAGTGTATGTTTCAAGTCCTTATTTTTAACATATCACATATAAATAAGGATGAGTAACGATTCCTGTTACGTGCTCGACTTAAACGTCGGCGTATTATCAAATTTACCCGTATTATTATGTGAATGATATATAAATATATACTTTTTACCTAAAAGGGGATTTGTAAAAGTTACCACCGCACAAAGCGACGCCGGAGCTTACGCTTATTTTGCAGATAAATAATGCAGGCGCGATCTCTCGAATATACAGCGGACGTAAAAAAGGGGGGCGAATGGTGAAAAATTCCGAGGGTTCTTCGATGAATCGTTAATGATGCATTCAGATAAAATTTGTTAACGAGAATATTTGATCTTTTCGTGTCGGTGCAATTTACGAGGGGAAAACCGCTGAGGGCATTGTGGTGTACAGATTTGCGGCATTACTGGGCATTACTAGGGCATTTTTGGGGCATTAGGTCTTGCTGGGGCATTATAAAGATAAAATAAGATAAAATAATATAAAACAAGATAAATAAGATAAAGTAACGCCCAGTGGGCATTGGTGTACAAGATTTTGGTCAGCGGTTTCCCCCTCGGCAATTTACTAATCCTCGATCTCCCATCTCGATAAAGACAATTCTTGTCTTGACGCTCGATCATCATCAAAAGAAAAAACAATGGACTGTCGTGTGTTAATTTATGCTCCGTCCTTTTCTGTCTCGCCAATCTGCATTTTTGTGATTAAACTGGCAACTATGCCGTAAGCATGGGCCAACAACGCGCACGGGTATAAGAGAACAAACGGGATTAAATAACGTTTGGGAAGAACACGTCTGTTCGTTCGCTCTCCCGCACGCGTCGCCGCCGTAACGTAACGATTCAATCAGCGTTTACGATAAAGCTACCGCCGTAATCATACGCTTTACGCAAAATTTACTTTCGTTGTAATCACCAAGTCTCGCCACTTGGCGGCTCGAGCGGCTGATTCGAGCGCTTTCTCTCTTACGTTCAAGCTACTCGAATCGTTGTATTAACTTATAACTAATAACCGTAACTCGCGGTGAACTTACTTACGTCTCGATCGTCATGTCTTAATGTCTGAATCCGTGCGAATAACCGATGCTTAAGGGGATCCTAAAGCCGTCTGTTTTATCGACATTCCTTGTCAGAAGTAATCATTTAATTGGCTGTATAGAAGTGCAAAACTTTTTCACGGAATTAAAGTACGCAGCAAAATCTATACTGGTCGACTTTATATGAAAAATGAAAAAGAATTTACCAATTTTTTGTACACTTGACAATATTCGCCTGATACAAGAATTCTACAATAAATATATAAAAAAATGAGTCCAGCATACTCTAGGGACAATCTTAGAACTAAGATTAATAGTCTAGAAAGAAGAGATCACTTCTGATAAACGCAAGTCCAGAAATCCAAGTCTGGAAGAAGAGGAAAAGAGCAGTATTGCGTGTAGAAATAGTTGCAGGCTTTTTTTAGACAGGTTGCTGCCAAACATCTGTTAGATTGTCAGCAAAGCCATGGTGTTGACCATCGACATATCGTACTGGACGGGGCATCAAACCAAAACCGCGTTCACAGACGTAGAAAGAGACAAGACGTGGGTAGCAGCAGCTCCGAGCGCGGTAGTGTTCCCCTGCTCTTAAAAAAAATTCAACCAATGTAAACATAGAGATCCGTGCCTACACATCTATTTTACTCTCTCGCGGAACACGAAAGATTAAAGAAATCCGAGAAGAAATCTTACCGCGTGCTCCGTCCAATACTATATATCGATGGCGTTGACGATGCCTCGGCCTGAGCAATGTGTAGCTAATAAAATTGCTGCTTTTTCGTAAAAGTTACAAATTGATTGGCTATATAAATTTCTCGGACCGAGTAGAACTTGGAATTAAAAACGTCGATAATTGACGTTTTTAATTCCGTCTGCTATCTTATCGACACTGATCGAGTTCGCCAACGGCTACGAACTCGAGGCGCGAATTTCGCACCGAAAAAGATTCCACCCCGAGGACCTTTGCCGGGCACCCGGTTGTAAATTGGCCTCTCTGTTAGCGGAAAAATTAATTGCTCGTAATCCTTGATCTCTCGATAAAGTGTGAAGAAATTTAGTTCGTATTATGTGCGCGCTAATATTTATATTATCAAAGTCGTAAAATACATCAGCAGCAAATTAACTTTCTCTATGACGCACAGTAGTTTTATGCTAATGTATTAGCGTAAGTTGCACGGGACGATCCTCGTTCATAATCGCGCGTTATAATGCCACCGACATCGAAAATGTTGCTCGGGGCAAATAAATGTCGCGACCAGGCACGACATTGCCGGAGGAGTAACTTTGTAATTTGAAACACTGCAAACGGCTGCGAAGTTGAAACTTTGCGAGGGCAATAACGTCGCGTCGCCGCGATTATTGTCACTTTGTAATTCTGCGCAAAAGCTAATTGAACATCTGTAAAAGTGCAGCTGCCGTGGTACCTTCTCCCCCCCCCCTCCTGCACGCAATATAAATTCACGACGTTTCTTTTTCTCTTGTGGGTTTTTTAATTTTTCGAATACTTGTACTCTGTCAAAGTCAATCGGTGGATTCTCACTGAAAACAGTCAAGTTCACCGATCAGACACAGTCACCGATTTGCAGCGATAAATCTTTCACTGTTATTTCCAGTGGTATGTTATAACTGGAAAGCAGTGATTATTTACTGTCTTCAGCGATAAACTGGCTGACGTATAGAGTGACGTATAGACAATCAATCAAGTATTTCCTGTAGTTCTTTTCATCTTTAAATATTCATTAAGATCTTAAATATTTATTAAGCATTATAAAACTCTAAAGCGTACAGGATGTCCGCATGATTTTATGCAAAGCTGTCTTTTCCCCCCCCCCCCCAAACAGTTTTGAATCTAGGTCGCCAAAAGCGCATTCATTTCTTTACAAAGGACTCTCCTACGGAAATTAGCGCGTGCTTTTGGCTGATGGCAGACAACTATCCGTAAGCGCTTAAAACTGACGTAGTCGTAGACTTAAGGTAAGGCAGAGAAAAACGTAAGCCGTAAGGAACACGTGTTACCTTAAGTCTACGACTACGTCAGTCTTAAGCGCTTACGGATAGTTATCTGCCATCAGCCTTTTGCTTGTTGCGCAACACATCCGAATGTGTCCCGCTTCAAAAAGTATCGAGAGGTACGGGAGATTCGAGCGGGCTATAATGAAACATTGTAGATTAATCCCGCTTGTTTCGATTGCGGCGTCGTGCGACGATCCCTTCGTTAATTTTTTTCACTGGTTTTATTACAATCGATTAAAACCGTAGTAAAAAATCCGAGCCATAATAAAAAGGATTTATGATGAAAATTGCCGGGAGTTGTTCAACGATAATACCAAGCTTACGTCAAGCAAAGTGTTACGTGAATGTAATAGTCGTTACCTGCCAAGATCATTGATTCACTGACCAAGCTACTTAAAAGTCAATTAAATGCGTCCTCGCGCGCACGCATATTGTTTGCAGCAATTCGGTAATTTTTGCAGCGTCGGCGACTTTCGTTCGCAAAATTGCCGGCCGTCGTTGACGCACGGCGAGTGATATCGCACAGAATTGCGTCGGCGGTTAGTAAACAATTAAATACATAAATACCGTTTGTATGCGACGCGGTATCGGAAACGCGACCGCGTGCCTTTTGCCTCTCGACCTCGCGCGGAGCGACCGTTTGTTCGTTATTCAATATTTATGCAAATCCGTCGGAATGGGATCACCTCGCGAGTCCTCGCACGCCCTCGCA